GGCGGCGGCGGCGGACGACAGCGGCGCCAGCGGCAGGGGCATGGAGCCGACGGCGGCGGAGGCGGCGGGGAGGACGACGAGGCAGAGGCGGAAAGGCAGAGGCTGCTTTTGCTTCCCAACTAAGGTGATTGTCGTCCCACCTTGCCGCGGCGCCCGAGTCGTTTTTCGTCACATGTGCATGTGCACACATGAGGCCTGGTCAACACAAAGAAGACAGAGGCGGAGGCGGATGACGGAGGGGTTCCACGACTCCCACCGTCGGCTTGCTTCAGCCTCTGGCCGAGCAGCGCGTGCACACAAAGGCCTTGCCGACGGATGCACGCGTGCAGCGCAGATGCGGGAGGAGGCGATGGAGGGTAGAGGCAGGAAAGGACAAGCAGAGACCGACTTCAGAATAGCAAACAATTGAAACAATCAACGTTCGAAGGTCTGCGCGTGATTCTTTGATCGGCACTGGACAACCCTCCTCCCTGAAGGAAGCCTGCGCCGCCAAGGGGCCTTGCGCCGATCCAACAAATCCGCACTGGCGTCCGACAGTTGCTGTGTGTGCAGCTTGTTCTTTTCGCCGAGCCTTGCCAGCAGATGCGGCCATGATAATTAACCAAAAAAGGACCCCTAAACCCTTTGGGAGGGGACCCAAGTTAGGAGGGCCTGGAACATCAGGGGTAAAGGGAGGGACTTTTCTGCAGACGTATCGAACCAAACCGCCCAGATTTATGATCCCTAGTGCGAGGACGGGGACCTGAGCGAGGCCACGTCTTCATCGTGTCATTAGGGTTAGGGGCTCGGTTGTTCTCGACGACATGCGCACGTGGCAGACGCCAACGTCCTGACAGACACCCTAGCCGCTCGCCGCGCGGCGGCTGCCCCAAGACTGCACCAGCCCACGGGTAATTAAAGCAGGCGGAGGGCCCCCGAGCAGACAGGGCGTGAGCGCAGCGAGAGAAAGAGAGAGCTCTCAGACCCGCTTCTGGGCTGAGGGGCCCTGGCATCAAGAGGCGCTGGAAGTCTCAAAAAAACTCCAGGGGCCCTGGGGAAGCCTCCGGAGGCCTCTGGAGGCCCCCCGAGGCCTAGAAGGAGGCAAACGGCAACAGAGAAACAACTCGATCCTCGAGCCTCGAGCCTCCAACGTTGTCCCCCTCCTCCTCTTCCTCCTGCCAACTCTCTGTTGTATCTGCATCTGCTCATCTTGAGGAAACAGAGACGTCATAAAGAACATCGCAAGCAGAGCCAAACGGGGAATGGCACGCGCTGAGGGTGACGGAACGGGTGCACTGTCAAATTGTTACGTGTGCGCATTCGGACCAACAGGTACTGGCCCCGTGGTCCGAAGCCCCTGCGACCCAACTGCAGGCCCTCACTCGACATCGGCGTGTGCGATTTCACCCGTGCTTTTATACACAGACCCCGTTGCGCTCAGGTGTGCGAGGGGCTCACCAGGACCACACACTCACAAGGCGGGTCGCGAAGAACCCCGCCCCCATCCCGAAACCAAAGCCGGCTTTCCATTCGAACACGCCTTGCGGCATCGGAGGCACAGGCCGCAGGTGGGCGGCGGGCGGGGGGCAGCGGCGGCAGCACGACCAGCCCGAGGAGAAGCTGGCCGACAGCCCGCGGATGTGGGCCGCGGGGCCGCAGCGGCGGAGATGCAGCGGCGGCAGCAACTCGCAGCACGAACAAGGGTGTTGACGGCGCGAGGAGGGGGGGGGAAGGGGGGCGGCTTCTGAGAAGGCAGGTGAGCGACGAAAAGAGGCGGGCCTTGCGCGAGATGACGTGGAGACCCTGCGCGGCGGCTTATGCGGGCCGCCAGCGCGGCACGCTACGCTGGAAGCGAGGGCGCTTACGCGCGACCTTACGCGGGCAGCTTACGCGCCAATGTCTGCGCAAACGACCCCGCTTTTTCTGCGTCGCGCAGGCCCCAGAGGCCGCCCGGTGGGCCCCTCCACTGTAGGGGCCCGACAAGGGCCCCTCTCCGGCAGCCCTCGCTGCTCCCCCAGTCGTCCCCCCCTCCCCTGCGCGTCCTCCGACCCGGCAAGCCATCTTGGAGGCCAGGCCTTCGAACTGAGAGGGCCCGTGCCCTTCGTGAGGCCACCACGCTGTCCTTGGAGGCCGCCCCCCCCCTCGCGCCGCCCTCCCTGCGCGCGCCCTCGGTGGCAACTCGCGGGAGCCTCCCATGCCATCTCGCGGGCTCGTGCGAGGCGAGGCTAACAGACGCTGAATCGACGCTAATCGATGCTACATCGACGCCGATCGACGCTGATCGAAACTAAATCGGCGCTTTCCCATCGACCACCAGACGCTAGAGCACGCTGGGGCACTCCAAAGACGGAATAGCGAGGACACACAAGGCAGCCATGATTTGCTACGGAAACAGAGCGAGGGGGGGCAGTGGACTTCAGCTTCTGGACGGATCGGTGGACACGCCAGGCGACGAGCAGCGTCACGATCTTCCGCTTGATGAGCGCCACCCTACCGGTGTTGGCCTTCCAGTCGGAGTCCATGCATCCTCAGCGCCCGTCCTGCGCCGACGGCCAAATCCCCAACTGGGGCGCTGAGACGGTGGGCGTCTGGATGGGACCGGAGATGGGGATATAGGCCGGTGAAACGATGCTGAGGGGAACGGAGCCTGAGGGAAACAGGTCCCAGACCTCGACGTCTCGAGGGGCATATCCCCAAGTGGGGCGCTGAGGCGGTGGGGGCCTGGAGGGGAATGGAGATGGGGAGAAGGGTCGGTTGCACGATGCGCGGGGGAGGGGAGCCTGAGGGAAAGAGGCTCCAGAGCCCAAGAGCCTTCCCCTGGGACCAGCCCTTCCGCCCGAGTCGCTTCTGACAGTCCCAAGGCCCGCGGAGGCCTCGGGAGCCCGACGGACTGCGAACAGACCTCCCCGAGGACCCGTTCCCAGACGTCCAGCGACTCGACGTGTGCGAGACACGGGCCCCCGACCTCTCGACCCCCTCCCCGGGCCCGGCTTTCCATCCCGAGTCGTCATGTGGCGGTGCCGAGGCCTGGCACAAGGCCCGGTGAGGCTGGCACCGGTGAGAGACCTCCGTCTCGATCTGTTCGGAGACTCCGGACGTCTGGGTTGCTACCTGACTGCTGGCTGCCATCGCCGCCCGGGTCTGGATGCCCGCGCCCGCGCCTGCGCTCGGCCGCGGTGGGGCTCTCGGGTGCCCGAGGCCGTGGCGGAGTGGCGGCCCGTGCCTGCAGCAAGAGGTCTCTGACCAGGCGAGGGTGGGCGGCGAGCCCAGGGGGGAAGTCACCCTGACCTGCCAGGAGGGCCCAAAAAATAGCACCAGGACGTCGACGTCCTGAATACTCCTGTCAAGGTTTGAGGCACTCCAGATCGGTCTATGGGTCTGGAGTGTTATTATCTAGCACTCCGGAAGGTCAGGGCAGAGGGGGCGGGCTTTCTGAGAAGGCTCGGAAGGCCTCCGGCCTTGTTGTCTAAACCTTCTCCGGAAATGTAAGGACGGCCTCGTAGAAGGCCAGAGGGCTTCTGAGAGACCCTGCCGCCTTTTGAGAAGGCCGGCGCCCCCTCTCACTTCCCCTCCGGGCGCGCCGCCGACAAGAACGAGGGGAGCGCTTTCCAGCCGTCATCGTCGTCATGTGGTCGTCATCGTGGATGCCTCACGGGGCCTCGAAAGAATTTCGCAACGACGGACACGGATTCGTCCCACGGAGAACCGAAAATCTCGCACACAATCGTCGCATGGAAACCCGCGGCTCCGGCAGGGTATGACAATCCTCGGCCATTGTTTGGGGAGGTTAACATTCCCCTCCGACGACGACGACCACGAGGCTCCCCCTTCCTCACCTTGCGGCGACGACGTTCCTTCTCCTCCTGTTCCTCATCCTCCCACGACGACGACAACGAAGCTCGTCCTCGTCCTCGTCCTCCTTCTCCCTCCTCCCCTTCCTCCTCCTCCCTCGACGACGCTCCTCCTCCACCTCCTCCTCCACCTCATCTTCCTCCTCTTCTTTCTCCTTGTCCTGATTCGCATACAATCCGACTGAACCACGAGGGCGCGCTGATCCAACATGCGCGCGCACCACAACAACACACACCGCGAACTCGTGATGCACAAAAAAAATCGGGGGCGCGCCCGGGGGAAAGTGAAAAGGGGCGGGCCTTCTCAGAAGGCTCGGAAGACCTCCGGCCTCCTGAGAAATGGTCTGAGCCATTCCCGGAGACACAACAAAGCTCTCGGAAGGCCAGAAGGTTCCTGAGAAGCCCCGCCGCCTCCTGCGAAGGCTCCCTCTTTCTCGCCTTCTCCCCTTCGCTCCCCGCCGAAGGAGGAGTCATCCTCGAGCGCAGCCAGGGGCGAACCTCCTCCTCCCCCTCCTCTTGAGCAGTGACCGACCGTCCTTGCATTCCTATGGGCCTACCACGACATGTTCTTAGAACCCCCAAATGGTCTTATAACCAAAGCAACGTTCTTAGGACATAAACGCGATGTGGTAAAACAAGATAGACCCAGCCAGCAACGTTCTGAGAACATCCCGTGGAAACCACAGAAGGGTCTCAGAACCTTGTTCGGGAGGCCTGTAGGCACGCCAGGAGGCCTCGCCACTGCTTGATCCCCCTCCTCCTCGAAGGTTTTGGCACCCGCCCCGCGGCCTCTCCGCCGGCGGCCCTGCGCGGGGGGGCGCGTGGGAGGCGCCTCCGAGCCACTGTCTCGGCTGCGGCGGCGGCGGGCGCGCCCCTCTGCACTTGCAACCTACCGACCGAGTCGAGGGGCATGGAGGAGGATCGAGGAGGACGGAGGAGAATCGAAGAGGGAGGTCAGCCCCTCGCTTCCATCGGGCGAGACCGCTTCACTGGAAGATGCCCAGCAAAAACAACGTGGCCAAGACTGCCAGTGCGCGAGGGGACGCGTGCGACCAGGAGGCTGCTGGCGCGCTGCGCCTGTCCAGGAGATGCCGCTCAGCGGCACGCGCGATCCCGCCTTCGCGGCTGTTCTGGCACGTGCCGATTTACGCACGCACTGCGCTCATGAAG